CATGGGTAACACCACATGCATGGCCCACAAGACAGAGAGAACCTCACCGTCCACTTTTTAATTTGGGCATTTCGCATCGACTTGCGATTGTGTGTTTAGTACTCGTATTGTCACTGATATCCGTAATCTGACCTACTAACAATATACCCGATCTTCCTGTCTTACTTTTATTTTGTGTTAAGCAGAATCCTACTACATGTTGAAATATTAAAACAGGTGTGGCTTGATACTTTCATATTTTTATACGGTTAAATTTGTTTTCTAGTTGTCACGTTTCCTCGCCCTATCGCTTTATCAACACCTTCGACGGGATATGATACAAAGTCCCGAGTATCTTGGTGACCTTGCCTGGGTACCAGTGATCCACAGGATAGATATGAAACTCTGCAATTTAGCATGGATTTTTAGAGGCAATTCTATTTAAAATTCAATTTTATTGTGAGGCCTGCTCATATAATTTGGGAGAAAACATACATAACAATCATTAAATCGCCTCAAGCGACCCAGGATTACTAAGTTCTACGTCTTCTTCATGTTCGGTTATGGCCATATATTTCGACCTTATTCAATCGGAGTGATAATTAAAAATTGTTCATTGAAGATTGATGACCGAGTGCAAAGGTTACACTTTATTATGATTGCTCAAGGAAATAACTATTGGCATTATACATTTATGTACACATGTATGCACATACGTACATACCTACACATGATATACGACCTTATTCCCCATATAAATGCAGAGGGTTAGACTATATATATATATATATTACACGGAGACAAACCGGCAAGTTTTATTGATTTATAAGAGTTGTATTGAGCTTATTTTGGCAAATTGATAAAGGACTGCTAGTTGAATTTTCATACAATTTCATGAGTAGGCTTCGAATTTCAATTGAATTTTCCATAGCCTTGATACACACAAGATGTTCCGATCCTTGGGAAGCAAGGCTATGGGACATTCATTCGAAACCTGTGGTCTAATCATATCCTTGTAGGAAAATTCAACTAACGTCACTTCATCAACTTCTGCGTAACATCTAATTCTAGACACGAAACGAAAATAGCTTGAATTAGTTGCAAGATTGAAAGTCTTCCCTGATGGCATATAAAAGCGTATTTCGTTTTAGAATCAAAGGAGACTGCCTTTGGGTCTGCGTCAACCAGAATGTTTCAGTAAAGCCAATCGACAGCCGTTGACTTCTGGTGGAATCGACCTTCGATTCTCTTCACCAAACACTTTCACCTGAAATGGAAATATGCTTAACAATCGTAAACTAAACGATTTTTAGTAAAAAGAGGTTTGACTTCGTTTTCGCAAATTGGTCGGGTTTTCGGGGAAACCTAGTTGGGCGCACCTTGTCCGAAGTCCTCAGTTATAGCAGTTATGATAATTCTCAGCATAGGAACGGGGACTTGGTACATTTCCAGATGTTTGGGGGACATTTCCAGTATTAACACTAATCTACAACTCGTCAAAGTGACATGTGAAGTCAATCCTTTGACCAACCTTCTGTCGAACGGTTGTTCTATCGCTTCCCTTCTAACCTGGTGCATCTATCATCATTTCTCACTCCATCATTATCATAATTTCTTACTTATTTGTATCCTTGATACTCAAATTGTATTCGTTTATTGAAAAAAGGATTTCCTTTCTATTCTCAATGTGGTATTGTATGAAGAAGTTTTCGGCCTATCACCCCAACAACCTTCATATTTACTGTGTAGGACAAAACCTTTCCCCTCATTTGAGGTAATTTTGCGGTGGGGCAGCTTTCTCATGTAAATCACTCTGCCAGAGGTTGAGAGAGATAAATTTTCTTTTTAGAAGTTAGTTGACCTTGTTGTCAGGGCGACTATGTATAACGCATCTAGTCCGAAGTCGTCTGCCATAGTAGTTGTGATTCCCAGCATCATACAGTGGACTTGGTACATTCTCAAACGTTTCGCAGGCATCGTAGTCGGCATCATCAGTGAGTTTCGCCATTCTCCACACCAAGCTACGAACTCGTCAAAGAGACAAGTGGAGTTGATCCTTTGACTGCGACCATATTAAAATAAATTTTCTTCGCTTATGACATATTGTGGAATGACAGGTTGCCCTCAATCCTGTTGCTTACCTGTATTAGCACACCCGTGT